CAAAATTGATTACGTAATTTCATGTAAAAAATATCATGGCAAAAAAATTCACATGATCATATGAAATGTCGGATAAAGCAAGAGATTGGACCACATAAAAGTTAAATACCGGTTTATCCACCTGTTTAAAAATTATTAATTAGATCGCTTCAAATGGCTAGAGTAACCCGTTGAATGACCATTTACAGTATGTAAGAAATTCATATTATTTACTAATTTAGCATCTAAATTCAGTATAGTGATAGCCTATTCTTTGAATATTAGCCTGTCAAGAGTTCTCGGATGAGATCCTTCTATGTAATTGTCAACATCTCTGTTCCTACTTAACCATCCACAAGTGGCTATACCAGATCACGTGTTTGGCAGCATATATATATATATTTTTTTTTGATTTCCCGAGTAACACCACTACGGGATGCCAAGTAGGCGTACTTTATTCTTTATTTCTAATATAATTAAATATACATTTTGTTATGTGTATTACAATGTTATATATCTAAGTATGTTTTTTATCTCTCTATCATTCTTGTGACCTGTTATTCTAAGCGCGCAGAGAGCCTTTTTTAGTCTATTTTTAGTAATGAAAGATATGGCCGGTTCTGGGATTGATGAAGAACCCCACTTAGCCTGCGTATAGTACATCCATATTTCATACACACCAAAAATATTTAACCATTTTACTGTAGATTTTATTCTTCTGTTCATTACGTTATTAACTTGTAATATCTCTTCTAATGAGCTTGGAGGGTGTATGTTTTCTGATACGTTTAAATTGGAGTATAGAATATTCCATATTCTCCTACTCACATCACATTCTAGTGTGAAATGTTCTATAGTTTGTAACACCGTTTTTATTATCTGCTACATGGACTAGCCTATAGCCCAAGGGCAATGCCCTGTGTGCTAACCGCCAGTAAATATCCTTTTTCTTATTTTCTGCCCACCGAAAACCAGATTGTTCTCATAAATTTCTTGATGCAGTGTTATCTCTTTGATTCACTGTCAGTTTCAGAAATTTTCCTCTTAAAA